CAGTTTAGTTTTTAAATTTTATTTGTTTAGAAATTTGTTACTGCCGTCTCTTCCTTTTTTTTTTTCATGTTTGGGGGAAGGAAAGAGAAGTAAGAGGCTGATTAAAAAGTCGCATTCATCCATTGTTGCAATTTGTAATCTTTAATTTCTGAGTAGAAATTAAATCACAATGCAATAGTGAACAGACATTTCGGTTTGCCAACTAATTAAAAATTGGCTGTCTGTCGTTTACAATGGTCTGTTAATATTTCTTAACTAACTGCTATTATTTCTGATTAGTTATGATTCATAATAATATTGTAATCTGAAGGTGTTTGACCAGTGGCTACAGGGTAGCCTGCTTCAGAAGGTACTCACAGACATGGCCCGTGGTCTGGAGGCTCTCAGGGGTCAGTTTGAAGACAAGAGCAAGCTGTGGAAGGTGGTGGAAGCTTTGCACACTGGGCTGGTCCTCTTGAATGATAGCCTCACAGCAGCTGGCCCAGAGGACAACCACACATCTCCAAAGATGTAAGGCACCTTTCTCTGTTTATTGCTGATCATCCTAGACAACACTTAATTTTAAAGAATGTACGATGGTACTGTTAGAAATGGGTGTTGCAAACCTGCAGCTGGACAAGTTCCTAGTTAGCAAATGGCATGTTCAAGGTTTTTACTGTCAACTGTCACCAAGACAGAGCTTTTTGCAGCAATCTGGATACCTATTCAGATGTTAAAAACAGTCTAATAGGAGAAAGATGTTTGAGAAGGTGCCAGCTTCCTGGATTTTAAGCTTTATGTCTTTGGCATTTGCTTAAAAATGAAAAATTTTAGACAATTTTTAGAGATACTTCATATAAAGAGCTACTTGTTTTCATATTTATTTAAAATTTGTGTATAGTTGAAGTGTTTACGTAAGGTTCAGAACTATTTTAGAAATGGGAAAGGAGGAACTTGTGGTTTCTTCAATTTTTTATGATTTTTTTGTGGGGGCTTGTGTGGCTGGCGAGTACAGGGATAGAACTCTGGACCTTGGTTTTGTCAGCACCACGCTCTAACCAGCTGAGCTAACTGACCAGCTTGGTGTCTTCAATTTTAAGATAAGCAGGATTTATTCACCGAAATGATTGATTCTGTTACAAGACTGGTTTGCTTTCTTCAGTAGGGGTTGAAGTTTGTAGCAACTTCATGAGTCTCATTACACTGCTGAAGTTAAGACTCTCCTTAAAAGAGAACAGAAAGTTTTCTCAATATTATCTCAAAAGGGTTTATTTCAAACCACAGCCATACAGACCCTTGCTCCCTGTGTCTCATGGAGAGGGAATTGTGATGTCAGGGTGCATAGGGTCTGTATTAGTCCATTTCTGTTGCTTATAACAAAATACCTGGAACCGAGTACTTTGTAGGAAAATGAAATTTATTGCTTCCAGTTTTGAAAGCTGGGAAATCTAAAGTGTGGGGAACACATATGGTGAGGATCTTTTTTGGTAGTGGCTTAATAGCAATGCAGGGGTCTCACATTGCAGAAAATTGCAGAGCAGAGAGAGAGAGAGTCACATGTGCTCTCCTTTTAAAGCCCTTAGACCCATGACCATGACCACCATTAAACCATTAACTTAATGACTTCTTTAAGGACCCACTTTTCAATTTTCACAAGAGGATTTCCCACCCTCAACAGCTACAGTGGAGATTAAACTTCAGTGACTTTGGGGAATGACCATGACCACCATTAAACCATTAACTTAATGACTTCTTTAAGGACCCACTTTTCAATTATCACAAGAGGATTTCCCACCCTCAACAGCTACAGTGGAGATTAAACTTCAGTGACTTTGGGGGGCCATTCAATCTTCTATAGGGCCGTATTGAGTTTTATGATTACATAACAAATAGCAACTCTAAACATTTCTAACTCTTCCACATTTTCTGGAACCCAGTTAGGAAACAGGATCTTGCTTTTGAAGGTCCTGTTTCCTAACTTTTACTAATGAGATGCCCTGGGCATAGGTGCTGGTGCTGGAGGCAGCGGCGTGGTTCCTTATCAGAGTATAACAGCTACAGCAAGATGATTATGGGGAGGCAGCAGGGATGCCTTGGAATAATGAGCTAGACAGGGGAGGGACAAAACATCCCGTCATAAATTAACTGCAAGCACAGGGCATTGTGGGTATTGAGAACTTTTTGGCTGCTCGGCTTGGGAAACAACATGTCCATTTCTTAATGCAAATTAATAAGATACCATATTAAGTCACTTTAATTATTCTACAAACCTCAGACACCTCCTGGCACTTTAGCTCAGGCTCCTGCCTGCTCTCCAGGAGACCAGGGTAATGAAGCCCCAGGAAGCTCCACCTGGCTCTTAGCTTGCACAGGTATTAGGGAAGCTGAGGACTATACCACACACCAAGTACCAAGCGTGGACAGCCCAAGCTTTCCCTGCCCATACATAATTTCTACACACTCTCAGGGTCAGGAAGAGGGCCCAAACACTGGCTTTGCCTCCACCTGCTGTGTGAAGTGGCCTTTGGAACCCCCATTTCTATTTGGACTCTGCTGTTGTGCAGATAATACAAAACTGCCTCCCATGGCTGTTGCAGTGAGAAGCAACCCCATGACCTGTGCAGCTCTGGCCCTTCTGTCAGCCTCCCTCAGCCTCAGCCTCCCCAGCTAGTAATAGCATCACTAGGTGATTGCTAAGACCGTTTCTAATCTTCAGCCCCTTGGTCTGCCAGAGACTTCATACAGGACTGCCTGATGGTACCCTGTCTTCATTTGTAAAGAAGGAATAATATGCCTGCCTCATTAGGCTGCTACAAGGATTGACAGAGAGACCCGGTGCTGAGAATGCCCCATGCTTAGTGGATGATCTTAAACACTGGCCCCATCTCACCTCCTGCCACCCACATCTGCTTATCTCTCCTTCTAGACTCACTCCCGCTCCCTCCCTCCTTCCCCTTCTGCAGATTTACCAATTTTCTCATACAGGTGTCAGGTATCTCTACATACATACCTTCAAGACTTTGCAACCCCTCTTATTATTTTTTTATTAAAACATAATTGATTGTACATATTTGTGGGGTACAGCATTGAATATCAATACCTATATGCAGTATGTGATGCTGAAATCAAGATAATTAGTATATTCAACATTAAACAATATAATCATTTTTTTTGTGGCCCTTTACCAATTTCTTGCTAGCCCCTTCTCCCCCTACTTCCCACTTCTGCTGGCCTCAGTTCTGTTCTCTTCTTTTGAAAGTTCAATGAATTATTGTGATTGTTCTAGCTTTCTTTCTTTCTTTATTATTTGTGTATTTTTTTAAACTCCCACATGTGAATGAGGACATGTGGTATTTCTCTTTCTGTGCCTGGTTTATTTCACTTAACATGATTTTCTCTAAGTTCATCCATGTGCTGCGAGTGGCAGAATTTCATTCTTTTTTATGGCAGAGTAGTATTCCATTGTGTACGTATACCACATTTTCCTATCCTGTCGTCCATTGATTGGCCCTTATTAACTCTACAATTTCCAAAGTAAATGTTTTCTTGTACTTTTGTGTGCAGTCATGAGTCCCATCCTGCTGGGTGCGATTTGCACGTGTGGTTAAGATTCTGATGCTTGCTTCTCTATGTGGCTCTTCTGACTCATAGCTCTCCTCCCTGTTTTGTCTCCTGGACATTGCTGAGTGCCTCCTTCTCTACGTCTGTGTTTTCTGTTGTTGTTTTTGTGGTATCTGTCACTATTTCTATTACCTCCTTTTCGGAGTTTTATCCTTGTTTCTCCAGTTCAGTTAAAACACTTCAATTAAATCAGACAGTCACTTGCCTTCAGCTTCCCTCAAATCTTTATGACAGTCACACTGACTCATGGTAGAAAACTGTGTATCTTTTATTGTAAACTTTTATCATAAGCTTTGGTCCAGGAAACCACACTCCTTTTTTTCTGTCCTAGCTCCATAGCCAATTGTTCATGTCTTTTTCTCTTCCTAAGACACAATTTCTAACCAAAAGAAATGAAAACATCCCCAGACCCTGAGTTTCCTACTTAGGACTTTGTGCCATTAAAGACTGTTTTGCCTTCTCCTGGTTTTGTCTGTTCGCGCCCATGGCTCTATGGTCGTGGTGGTTGAGGTGTGGAAAGTGCGGGTCCTGGTAAAGCAAGGGCTCGCACGGGTGTTCTGGTCCCCAGCAAAGTCTGCCCCTTCAGTGCCACCTGTCACTGTAAAGATGTGTGTTCGCAGATGTGGCAGGAATAGTTCCCTGCCTCTGGCCACACAATATCCTCGTCAGAGCTTGGAAACTCAGATTCAGGTCCAAGCCACAGAGTGTATCTTTTTTCCTTTGGGGAGAGTAAAATAAAGTACAGCCATCTCTTCCCCACTTTCTAGTTCTTTCCAACAGCCACTCCACTTCCTCCTGGGTGTAGTACAGAGTCAGAGGATTGAGTAGCCTAACCCCACTCCATCCTGTGCAGGCCCAGTTCAGGAAGCCACAGCTCTGGTTTCAGGCCAGCAAGAGGTGGCAGGAGTCTGGCCAGTGGCCAGAAAGCCCATGCAAGCAGTGATGGTGGAATAGCTCTGCCTTGTAGGGGTCTGACGTGGGGATGGGCACCACCTACTGGCAGTTTCCTCTAGGAGAAACACCATCAAAACATTCCTTACTCTCTGTAGCCTCTGCAGTGGTCAGATCTATCAGCACACCAGCTGCAGAATAGCAGGAACTATTTATCAAATCTGCACTTAACCCAGGGACTGTCAAGATGCTGTGAAGACACTGGTCAAGGTGACAGTGGAGATCAGAGCTGTGACATGGCTCCAGCCAGTGGAGCATTTTGCTTGGGCTCCATCTGACAGGTGTTGCTAATCTGCCCTAGTTGGGACCACTTCAGTGGGTCCTGTACTCTGCCACACACCATCTCGATTTTGTGAAACTCTTCTCAAAATATTTTTCTGCATCTCCTAACTGTAGGCTTCAAGGTAAATGTTTGTAAATCTCACCTGGAGCTTTATCCTAAACATACTGCTAGGAATATACTTTCCTGTTTTGGGGTAGAGAATAGTTAATCCATATTCAGTACCTAAAAGGACCAGCTGATTCAGACCGGGCAGTTTGTCAAGAACCTGATTATATGATGAACACACTTCCCAAAGCAGTGGGATATTTTTCTTTCGAATGGAATTTTCATTTCCCTAGTTGAACTTCTTCCCATTTTATTTCATTTATTTATTTTTGCCCTCAGATTACGACATCTGCGGAAATTGCAGAGCGTGCTGCAAAACCTGCCCCAGTGGCCGGCTCTAAAGAGGTTGCTCCAGCTTGATGGTGCTCTCAGGAATGCAATAGCCCAGCATTTACATTTTGTCCAAGGTAAACTAGCTCTGGTGTTATTTGTCACTGACTCACTAAGAGTGAACATGAAATTTATCAGGAAACGAACTTGAAACTGTCTGACAATGTTGTAAAGTTTGGAGATAAATTTTGCTGGTGTAGTATACATATTTATACTTTGCTATGATGCCTCCTGGGGCATTTCAAATACAGCACACCAAGGCTGAATAAACAATGCTGTCACAGTGAAGAGCCTGCCCTACTGTTTGCCATTAGCCCATGGTGTGGCCTTGTGACAGGCGGTTTCCCAGGACTGGGGTTTGACATTCACATTCACACCAGCATCCGTGGTTCTTAGGCTGGAAAAGGACCAGAAAGCACTGTGAATAAGTGAATCATCTCTATTCTGTTTCCCTACCCTTTGCTTCTTGGTGTCTGTTCCTCTTTCGTTTGCAAAATTCTCTTCTTTGTGCTTCCATCAACTGTGGTGGGTGTTATACCTTTTGCTCTTTTCTGAGAAGTCAAGTTTGCATTTTTGCACAAGCAGGCTGGTGCCTTTTCATCTTCTCAGGGAGGAGGGAGAAGAAATAAGTAGAGATGTTGTTTCAGAAGCAAAGCTCTCCTGCAACTACGAACTCAGACTCATGAGTCTTTAGAAAAGATGAAATGGTATTACAATGACTTCCTGTTTTCCTCTCTGAGGAACATAATAAAATGTATGATAACAGGTCAAGTTTATGGAAATGCATGTTTTCAGAATTCACTTTATTGATTCATGGCCATGTGTTGAAGTCAAGCTTGGAGTAGCCTACCTTAGGTGGATAAAAATTGGTCTGTTAATCTTGCAGAAATCTTCATTCACTTGGAGATGTCAGCTGATTCTAGATGGTTTGGACCTGACCGATTGAAACTGGAAAAGGATGTGTTCTTTTGGGAGTTAAAGCAGGTAAGTCACAGCAAAGGATTATAAATAAACGATTTTCATAAAACATTCAAGAAGCTCATGCAATATTCAGTTTTGCTCCTGTTGTGAATTGTGCTAGCAAAATAAAGTGACCAACAGGCAAGTTCTCAAAGAACTTTGTGTTGTGTTTTAAAAGTTTTATTGTTGCTTATTTCTGTTTGTAGTTCTCCAGCCCACAGAGAGTGTATCTAAGGCTCTCTAAATGTTACCCCTTCCCAACCTTATTAATCTTTCAGATGTTGTCAAAGAATGCCACTGATATCTGCTTAAACGGATGCTTGTCTGAGAAGGAAACCCTCCTGGCCCCTGGAAACTCCAGCATCTGGGGTGGCCTCAGGGGACTGTTGTGCCATCACAACTCCTCCAATGATACCGGAGTTTTAAACAAGCTGCTTGGTTTAGTAGAGGATGCTGTAAGTATCCTACTGTCTGTTCTATTCCAAGAGCACAGTGGGCTCATTTTTAAGGTTAAATTCACCTAAAATGCTAATATTTAACCTGGAATTTCAATGAGCCCGGTGTCGACATCTGTTCATACCTGAAAGATACTGGCCAACGCCTCTCAATTCTGTCCCTTCTGTCTGACTGCTTGGGAGGCTCTATGTCACCTGGCCAGCTAAAACCTACTTGACATTCTCCAAGAGCATCCCAAACTTTCAAGGTGGGCCACATCTGCTTCTCTAGTTTCCTGGTTCTTTTTCCAGCTCCATTTCTAGCTGCATATGCTAAGAAAACTGGAGGAATATCTTTGTTGATCAATCAACTTGTAGCAAAGCTGTGGCTTTTAGTGGTCAGAGGCCTTAGAAGTCACATTCTTCTCAATTTACCTCCCAGGACATGCGGCTACTTTTGCTGAGTGTTCAAGTGGGACTGCAGAATGTCAAGCAGTTTATTTGGAAGATTATGATGTCAAGTTTAGCCCATATTTCTCTTACTGAGAACTAAAAATTATCATGTTTATATTTTTTCTCCTAGAATTACCTGTTTCATTTTTTTATCTTCTTTATATACTAAGAAATAAGTCCAGTGAAATAGTGAAACTTGTGAAATATAAATGATGTCATAGCAAAATGAAAATTGAGATAGTAATGTGTACGTAGTTCAATCCAGTCAATGCTTTCTTAGTATCTACTCATTGTGTGACAGTCTACGGAAGGGAGAACAAACATGAAGACGGCTGAGAAGGTCAGACAACGTGAGTGCATGTAGCTGAGCATCTGGAAGTCTTCCCAAATAAGTCAGTGAGCCTTAAATGAGATGTAAGATTTGGAAGCAAAGAGAAGTCAGGAGAGGATTATAGACAGACAGAAAAGTGCGTGTGAAGGCACGCAGGCAGGAAAACCCACTACTAGTTGCACATCTGCTTTTCTGCTATTGGGTGTAAGCTCTTTCCTGGTGGAAAGTCCATTCCAAATTTCTTTGTATCTGTAAAGCCTAACTCATAGCCTCACACAGAGTATGAACTCAGCGTGATCTGCTGCTGCTGATGAGTATATTAGTTTACTATATGTGAGAAGTCTTTCTAATGGTGCTGAGGTTATATGTCACTAGCAAACTACCCCAAAGCTCAGTGGCTTAAAACAAAACACATTCTATTGTCTCTCGTGACTCTGAGGGTTGGCCAGGCTCAGCCAGGCAGTTCTTCTGATGGTCTTGGCTTTTTGCCATCTTACCTCATGTTGTTACAGTCATGGCAGTTGGGGCTGGGGGCTGGGTGCCCAGCTGGATCACTGAGGGGACTGGACATTATCCTTTCAAGTCTCAGAGTCTCTCTTCTCTGCGTAGCCTTCCCATGTGGTTTCTCAGCAGGGTAGCCAGACTTCTTACATGGTGGTCCAGGGATCCCAGAAACAGGCAAGAAGGGGAGGGAGAGTAGGAGCTGCTACTGCGTAGAAAAGGTGGGACTGGAACTGACAAAATCACTTCTGCTGCATTTCATGGGTTAATGCAAATCAGAGCCCAGCCTAGACGAATTGCAGGAAGGGGTTACTAAGAGTGAGACTATCATGAGGTCTGGTTCACTGGGACCATATAGGGAGACTTGCTAACAAAAAAGTCTATGACACTTGGGTCCCTTGCTGCTTTATTATTGGATAAGGTGTTATTTTGGAGCCTATTAACTTGAATATGAGTAAAGATTCAAGTCTAGAACTATGATCATCCTACAGGCACAGTCTTTAATGCACAGTTCAAGTCAACCCCTTACTCAGTAACATTAGGTAAAGGCTGCATCTCATGTGATTAGAGTTGCTTTATTTATTACAAGCAATTTTTTTTTCCCATTAAGGATCATATTTTGCAAGCGGTCATTGCTGGGCACACAAATATGCCAGTTTCAGTACCGGGAGGATATTTGGGCTGGCAGGAACTCGAGATGCAGCTGTCAGAAGCAAGCCTGTCCTGTACTCGGCTCTTCCGGCTGCCAGGAGCTGAAGGCTCACCTGGGAATGGGAATTTTTCTGGTGTCTGTGAACACCAGCTTGTCTCCACGGTGTAAGTGCATGTTTCATGGAAAATGTCTGAACAATTGGATATCAAAATGGTTTCAACTGCCCCTTTCTACTCAACTGATAGATCAGTATGGTAGATTATATTTCCAATGAATAGAATAGAAAGATGTTTAATTTACTTTAAAAAGATTAACTTATTAGTACTATTGAAAAGCATCAAAAAACTATAAAATATTAGACAATTCCTTTAAAGGTTAACTGTTGGCTTAACCTTTTACAAGAAATCTAGGGTCCCTGTTCAGTCTAACATGTGCATGTGATTGAGATTCTTGTTTATTCCTTCACTCAGAACTCTCACACTAACTACCAAAGAGAGGCTTCTCTCGGGAGCTGTGCTTCTCCAGAAAATTTGCCTTGTTTTTATTTTACAACACTGTGAACTATATGTGTGATCAATTTCCTTGGATGCTAGAAAGTTCATAGTCAAATATGTCAGATATGGAATGTATTTTTTTTTAGCTTCAAAGTTTATTTCATACTATGTCCTTTATTTTTTTCCCTCCTTTCTCTTTTGATTTACTCTGTCTTACTATGTATTCTCATAAGTGGTTTTCCCCCATTTTTCAAATCAGGGTAGAGAAATTTGTAAACAAGCAAATAAATATTAAGAGAACTATTTCAAAGGTTCTAATTTCTTACATAAGTGGACTGCCAGACATTTGTATATACTTGTGTTTAGATGAATTTATAATGATCTGTCATCTGGAAAATCATTGTTCAATTTTAGTTTTCTTTGAATTCTTTTTGACTGCAGGATATTTCACATACTTGAAAAAGTACAGTCTTCCCTGGAACAAACACCCTACTGGAAAGCCTTCATAAGGTTTATCAGGAAGACTTGTGAAGTCGTTCAGTATGTGAATATGCAAGGATGTTTCCAGAATAGTCTGTTTGGTAAGTCAGTAGTCCTAACTACAGGAATGTGGGGCTGGCTTTTTTTTTTTTTTTCCAGTGAGGTAATATGACTTCCTAACAGACTATCCTATTTAATGAAGGGGAGCTTTAAATGGAGGGTCTCTAAGTACAATTTGCCATTGTGATTATTGCATTCAATTTTTCCCATAAATTATGACAAGACCTACCAGAAGTGTTGATTTGACTGAGTCAGGTTGTCTCAGAACAGTTTGTAATCATGACTCATTTTACTCTGAGAACTGTCATGGTTTGGATGATAAATATTTAGGGATATATGGACTAATCATAACTCTACTCCCAAGAGTCCAGATTCACTGCATGGGGAGACTTATCACCTTACTTATCATTAAGCCTGTCCCTCACACTGAAGAAAATGCTCCATGCTGAGTATGCTCCTGTATAGGAAAACAAAACAAAACAATCCAGCTTTTTCTCTATACTCACATTCAACACTTTCAATACTTCTGTGACCAAATGTGTGGGTCTTTTTACCACACCAAGCAATTCTCCAGTTCTCCATGGACACTAGCTGGGTGTCATACAATTCAATTCAATTCTAACACTATCTGAAGTTAGCATCAGATCCCACAGCTTAGGGGCTCAGTCCCACAAGACTGCCCCCACTTCAGATGCCAACTCCAGGTTCAGGCCTCCCTTCTGACTTCTGACCAAATGGCCATAAATAAAGGTTCCCACGACTCCCTGCTCAGGTTCGATAATTTGCCAGAACAGCTTACAGAACTCAGGAGAACAGTATACTTACTAGATTACTAGTTTATTCTAAAGGATACAACTCAGGAACTGCCAGATGGAAGAGATGCGTAGGGCAAGGTATGGGGTGGGACTGGGGGTGTGTAGAACTTCCATATCCTCTCTGCAGGCACAACCCTACCAGCACCCCATGTGGTCCCCTACCTGGAATCTTTCTGAACCACATCCTTTGTGTTTTTAGGAAGGCTGTATTATGTAGGCATGATGGATTAAATCATGGGCCATTAGTGATTAGCTCAACCTCTAGCCCCTCTTCCCTTCCTGGAGGTTGGGGGGTGGGTAAGGAGTGGAGGGAGGGCGGGGCTGAAAGTTCCAACCCTCTAATCACATGGTTGGTTCCCAGACAACTAGCCTCTGTCCCAGCACTATCCAGGAGCGCCCAGCCACCAGTCATCTCATTAGCATATAAGAAGACACTTATCACTGTGGGTATTTCAAGAGTTTTAGGAGCTGCGTGCCAGGAAATGGGCAGAGACCAGATACATATGTTTCTTATGTTACAGCTCCCTTCTTTTTTTGCCAGCTTCACAAAATGAAAAATTTCTTAAAATGTAGATTTTGTAAACTCACAACTGCATGATTCACAGGGAGCCCTTCTGTTCCCCTGAAGACCCTATTTTTTAAAACAATGCCAGCACACATGACACTTGGATTTCTGACTCTCTGCCTTCCTGCTCTGGAGAGGGTTGTCTGTTTCCATCTCTCCTTGGAATCATGCTCTGTCCTGGCTTTCCTGTGCTCCATCACAGTGCGGTTGTCAGCTCCTCCTTAGAACACTGCATCTTTGACCTGGGAGGATTGGGGCTGGGAATGAGAATTTCTCATTCCTGTTCTGTAGCTACGACCACCTGGCCTTCTTTCCTTCCTTCCTCTCAAATTGCTGCTTTTAGAGGCTTCCAGAGCTTCCTTCTCTGTGGTTCTCAGTATCAAACCTACGTACAAGATGGGTCTTGGCATTTGTTGCAGGTTACACTATGAAGCTCTGTACTTCGGTACAGTGAGTGGTATTGGTTGATGGTGATTTCTCCAGTGAGTTGGCTATGTCCTGCTGGATTAGGTACACATCCTACACTTTAACTTTTGTTTTTACTACCTTGTCCTCCTGTTCATCACTTATTCTTACCCCTTCTGACTGTTTTCAGAAACATAGATGACAAGGGTGATGTTCAATATTGGGAAAAAGCCCAGGATTCAGAAGTCTCAAAAATATTAATAAGTGCAAATATTTGTTGTGTTTTCTATGAATTATCTTAGTCAATCCTCATGTCAACTTGTGAGATATGTACCATTATGATTCATTTTCAGATGACAATACTGAGGCTCAAAAAGATTTTATTTCTGGCTAAGGTCATAAAAGTACTAAGAATGCCAAGAATACACATGCAGAAGTCTCACTCTGGTTCCTGTAAGCTTACCCACTCCCCTTCCCTTTAGATGGATCCCCTCTCAGGGCTTATCTCTGTGCAAAGTCTTCCTCCATTACAGAAATATAACTCGTTCTGTTAAATTATTTCATTAATTTATTCCTTTATTATGATTATTTCCTTCCTTCTACTAAATTTAGCTTGACTGCTGTTCTTTTTCTAGCTTCTTGATTTTCAGATTTTCTAATGTATGCTTTTAAGTCTACAAATTTTCCTCTATGCAAAACTCTAGATATATTCTACACATTTTGATATGTCATAGTTTTATTTCAAAATTCAATCAATTCAAAAATCAGTTAAATATTTTCTATGTTACTGTGATTATTGTATTTTTTTCTTTGGTTCATGGTTATTTAGAAGTGTATCATGCTGTCTGTGAACAGAGATAATTTTACTTCTTCCTTTTGTATTTGGATGCCTTTTATTTCTTTTTCTTGCCTAATTGCTCTTGATAGAACTTCCAGTATTACGCTGAATAGAAGTGGAAAATGTGGCATTCTTTTCTTGTTCCTAATCTTAGATAAAATGCTTTCAGTCTTTCACCACTGAGTATGATGTTAGTTGTGGGCTTTTCATATAAGATTTTTATTATGTCTGGGTAGTTTCTTTATATTCCTTTGTTGAGAATTATTATCATGAAAGGGTGTTGAATTTTGTCAAGTGTTTTCTTCTGCATCAATTGAGATGACTATGTCTTTTCTTTCCTTCATTTTGTTAACATAGCATATTACATTGATTTATTTTTCGTGTGATAAACCATCCTTGCATGCCAGGAATAAATCCCGGTGTACAATTTTTTTAATGTGCTGTTGAACTCTGCTTGCTAGTATTTTGTTGAGGTTTTTGCATTAATATTTATCAGGGATATTGGGCTACACTTTTCTTGTAGTGTTTTTGTCTGCCTGCAGAATCAGGCTAAAGCTGGCCTCATAGCATCTGAATGTGTTCTGTCAATTTTGGCGGGGGAAGTTTGAGGAGGATTAGTATTCTTCTATAAATGTTTGAATTCTCTAGAATTCAACAGTGAAGCCATCTGGTTCTGGGTTTTTCATTGTTGGGAGATTTTGTATTACTAATTAAATATCTTTACTAGTTATTGGTCTGTTCTGATTTTCTTTTTTTTTATAATTCAGTCTTGGTAGGTTGTGTATTTCTAGGATTTTACTCATTTCATCAGGGTTATCCAATTTTTTGACATATGGATATTTATAGTATTCTCTTATAATCCTTTTTTATTTTTGTAAAATCAGTTGTAATGTCATCTCTTTTATTTCTGATTGTAGTTATTGGGGTCTTCTCACTTTTTCTTTGTTAATCTAGTTAAAGATTTGTCAGTTTTGTTGATCTTTTCAAAAAATAAACTTTTAGTTTTGTTGATTTTCTTTTCTTTATTTCACTTTTCTCTGCTCTAATTGTTAGTAGTTCCTTCCTTCTGTTAGCTTTGGGTTTAGTTTGTTCTTCTTCTAGATTCTTAAGGTGTAAGTTAGATGTTGATTTGAGACCTTTCTTATTTTTTAATGTAAGCATTTACAGCTATAAATTTCTCCCTTAGTACTGCTTCTTTTTCATCTCATAAGTTTTGGTGTTGTGTTTTGTTTTCCATTGTTATGGCATTTTCTAATTTCCCTTTTGATATCTTCTTTGGCTTATTGGTTGTTTAAGAGTATGTTGTTGAATTTCTACATATTTGTGATTTTTTTCCTGTTTTCCCTTTGCTATTGAGTGCTAGTTTCATTCCTTTGTGATCATTAACGATACCTTGTATAATTTCAGCCTTTTAAAATTTATTAAGACTTGTTTTATGGCCTAACATATGGTCTATCCTGAATAGTTTTCTCTGATATATTTTTTAGTTCACTAATCCTTCAGAATGTGTTTAATATACTGTTAGCTTATTCGTTCATTTTTTAATTCAGTTATTATAATATGTTTTAGAATTTCCTTTTGATAATTTTTTATAGTATTTACTAAAGTCTGTGCCTAATAACTTTAATAACTTGATATCGGGGTGTCTGACAGGCAGTTAGGATGAAGGCATATCACCTTAATTCTGCCAGAAATTGAACCATTTTAAGCATGGTATCAATCTTTGTGAAAGCTTGTATGTTTTTTGTCTACTGTTATTACTGGAGTGGAGCCTTCTGGGGTTTCAACCTAAAGCTGTGGTGTTTACCAAAGACATGTTTTTCTTGGCTGTGCCTGAATTTCCATTTTTTTCCTTGTCTTGTGAGACTGTGGGAAGTTCCACTTACTTTCTCAGCCCCTCAGGGCTGGCTCTTGTTTTTGGAAATAGCAATTGCTTATAGTGCAAAAATGGCTTCTAAGGCTGGGCTTCATTTCTCCTGTCTTCCTTCTTCTGGAATCTTGACCCCACAAATTCTCACTGCCTTCAGGGCTCGCTGATGCCTTCAAATGGATTTAAAAAATATTTTGTCCCTCTTTTCTAGATGTTTTTAGTGGAAGCTGGACTAAAAAAACAGTCTCGTCTGTCACACACAGAACTGTTTTTTTTATAGTTTAGAATTCAAAGCTGTTATGTCCCTAACGTGTGGATGACAGAGCAAGGCTTTTTCCTGTGGCTCGGTAGTTAAGCCTTGACAAGCTTTATAGCTTGAATAATGCGTTGGTGAAGAGCTTGGATGCTGCAGTCCCACTAATTAATTTCAGATCTTGGCTCTGCCACTGGCTAGCCATAGGATTTGAGGGCAAATTACTTCAGTTTCCTCACCTATAAAAAGGTTTAATAGCATGAGTATTGTATGTGAAGTATTAGGTGCTGCATTAAGTATTTAATGAAGAATAAATGTTAAAGTATACATTCTTTAGTGTATTATGGGTTATACTATTTGTGCCAGGTGCTTTAGGAATAAAACTTGCTCCAAGTTTCCACAAGGTAGAATCATCACAACTAATGGGTGGGAGTTACAGAGGTCACAGTTAGCTTTCAAAGCAGAAAGAAAATTTTATTTATTGAAAAATTTTTTGTTTGTATCAAATTAATACATAGGCTACCTTTCAAATATAAGACAAAATGAAAAATAGCAATTCTCTGCCCCACTCCTCTCCAACCCCAGTTCTTAAGAGGCAGCTTCAATATTAAATTCAAGAATTTAATATTTTTGATGCTACTCCAAATTGTATGGTTTTTAAAAATTTCAGTTTTCCGTAGTTTGTTGCTTGTATGTGGACATGCATTTGATTTTTTGTGTATTGTTCTTGTATCCTGCAGACATGCTAAATTTACTTTTCAGCTTTTTTGTAAAATTTTATCAGATTTTCTGCAGTCATGTCATCTGTGAATAAGGATGTTTTAATTATTCATGTATGTCTTTTATTTATTTGCATCACCTTATTACACTGGCTATAGCCTCCATACAGTATCAGATAGAAATGTTGAATGAGAACATCCTTGTCCTGTCCTTAATCCTAGGGGGGAAACATTTGGTCTTTTGTCATCGAGTATAATGTTAGCTATAGGTTTTTCACATATACTCTTCATTAGATTGAGTTTTCTTTTATTTCTAGTTTACCAAGAGGTTTTTTTTTTTAATTAAATTAAGAATGGATGTTAGATTTTGTCAAATGTTTTTTTCTACATCTATTGATATGATTATGTTTTTTCTTTTAAATTTTGTTCATATAATAAGTCACATTGATTGTTTTCAAATGTTAAAAACTAACTTTGCATAATGAGATAAACTCCATTTGACCAAGATGTATTACATTTTTACATTTTGTTAGATTAGTTTTCTAGTGTTTTGTTTAACATTTTTGCATGCGTTCTTGTGAGGGATATTGGTCTGTAGTTTTCTTTTAATATCTTTGCCTTATTTTGGTATCAGGGTAATCCTGACCTCATAGCATGAGTTGAGAATTATTCTCTCCTTTTTTATTTTCTAGAAGAGTTTGTGTAGAATTGGTATTATTTCTTCCCTAAACATTTGGTAGAATTCACAGCAAAGCCATCTGGGCCTTTAGTTTTGTTTGTGGGAAGATATTTAATTACAAATTCAATTTCTGTAATAGATATAGGGCTATTCAAGTTATCTACTTTTTCTTGAGTGAGCTTTGGTAGTTTGTGTCTTTGAAGAATTTGTCTCTTTTATTTTAATTTTCCGATTTAGTGTCATGAAGCTTTTAAAAATAATATTACACTATTAATCTCTTAATATCTATAGAATCTGTAGTAATATCACCTTTTTCATCCTTGATAATTTGTGTCATTTTATTTCTGATCACTCTGCCTAGAGATTTATCAGTGCTATTGATCTTCTCAAAGAGCTAGCTTTGGGTTTTATTAATTTTTCTCTAATGTTTTTCCTTTTTCTATTTCCCTGGTTTTCACTCTGATCTTAATTATTTTATTTCTTCTACTTATTTGGGGTTAGCTAACTCCTTGTTTCTAGTTTCTTAACATAGAAGCTGAGTTCATCAATTTGAGATCATTTTCTATTCTAATGTAGGCATTAAGTGGTATACATTTCTCCCTAAATACTTTTTTTAGTGGCATCTGACATATCGTGGCTGTTGTGGTTTCATTTTTGTTCAGTTCAAAGTTTTTTTTAATTTACCTTTTGATTACTTTTTTTATCCATGAGTTATTTAGGCATGTGTTATTTAGTTTTCAAATATTTCGGATTTTCCAGATGTACATTTATTATTGATCTCTAATTTAATTCCATTTTAGTCAGCAAGCATTCTTTGTATGACTTTAATCCTGTTAAATTTATTGAGGCTTGTTTTACGGCCTAGAATATGGTCTACCATGGTAAATGTTCCACATGCATCAATTAGATCAAGTTATTTGATTGTATTGTACAAATCTTTTATACCCTTGCTGATATTTTGTCTTGAAGAGTATTAAAATCTCTGACTAGAATTATGAATTTGTCTGTTTCTCCTTGTATTTCTATTAGTTCGATCAAGTTATTTGATTGTATTGTACAAATCTTTTATACCCTTGCTGATATTTTGTCTTGAAAAGTATTAAAATCTCTGACTAGAATTACGAATTTGTCTGTTTCTCCTTGTATTTCTATTAGTTTTTGTTTCATGTGTTTTGAAGATCTGTTATAATGTGCATACACATGTAGGAAGGTTAGATCTTCTTGATTAATTGATTCCTTTATCATCATGAAGTGATAATAATATCATCTGGAATCTACTGTGTCTGATAGCTTTCCTTTGGTTAATGTTATGGTGGTATGCCTTTTTCATCCTTTTACTTTTAACTTATTTATGTCTTTATTTCAAGTGCATTTCTTGCATGCAGCATACAGTTGGATCTCGTTTCATCCAATCTGACAAGTTTTGCCTTTTAACTAGATTATGTAAACTATATAGTATAAACTAAGTAATATAAACCATTTTACATAATTAATGTTCTTCTCTACTAGTTCCACCATCTCTGTCAGTTTTGATTGATTATTTTTTCTCCTCATTATGGGTCATATTTTCCTGCTTCTTTGCATAAGTGGTAGCTTTTCATTGGATGCCAAACATGACAAATTTTAACTTTGCTTCATGCTGGTTATCTTTGTAGTCCTATAAATACTCTTGAAACAAATCACTTGAAACAGTTTGATCCTTTAGGGTATGGCTTTTAAGATTTGTTAAGCAGGTCTGTCAGAGTGCACAGTCTGCCTGTAAATATTCCCACCCCTGAAGCAAACCTTTTCGACGTACTCTATTTAACAACTAATGAATTGTGCCTCATTCCAATCTGGCCAAGGGAAACATGGTGTGTTCCAGGTCCTGGGCTCTGGCTTAATTCGTCCTTTCTGTGCTATGGCCTGGACACTCTCTCAAGCCAGTAAGCCGGGATCATTGTGGGTCTCATCTTGTTGGTTTTCTGTCTTCCATGGGATCAGTGTTTAACATTGCTCAGCGACAAGCGGTACTCCATCTTGGCTGGAAGGAGAAGTCAAATTAGAAGGATTTCTAATCCTCCTCTGTTATGTTTTAAATCATATTAGGTGAACTACTGCAGCAGTTTTTGCTTTACTAGATTTGTCTGTTATATGATCGACGTACTCTATTTAACAACTAATGAATTGTGCCTCATTCCAATCTGGCCAAGGGAAACACGGTGTGTTCCAGGTCCTGGGCTCTGGCTTAATTCGTCCTTTCTGTGCTATGGCCTGGACACTCTCTCAAGCCAGTAAGCTGGGATCATTGTGGGTCTCATCTTGTTGGTTTTCTGTCTTTCATGGGATCAGTGTTTAACATTGCTCAGCGACAAGTGGTACTCCGTCTTGGCTGGAAGGAGAAGTCAAATTAGAAGGATTTCTAACCCTCCTCTTTTACGTTTTCAATCATATTAGGTGAACTACTGCAGCAGTTTTTGCTTTACTAGATTTGTCTGTTATATGAAATTTGAAATCAATATATGAAATGTCTTTTCATTTAGCTTTCTCTGAGGAATCTCCTTGTTATAAAGAAAACATGGATTGGAAAATCATCAGTGATAATTATTTTACATTTCTGAATAACTTACTGAAATCTCCAAGACTTTCCATATCTAGGTAAGTTTTTAGAATTCAACTTCCAGGTCTTGATTTAACTATCATCTGAAGATAAGCAAAACTTAAGTATAGGATATGTGTTCTTTAAAATTATGAGCCTGATTTAGATATTGACTAAGTGTTTCATATTAGGTGCTCAATAAATATTTGTTTTTTAGAATATATGACTCAAGCTTCCATGGATTTTGAAAGGAAATATAAATGATAGTAATAAGATTTTTCTTCAATAGTAGAATGATTTATAATAGATAATACAAAATTAGTNTTGTTTTACGGCCTAGAATATGGTCTACCATGGTAAATGTTCCACATGCATCAATTAGATCAAGTTATTTGATTGTATTGTACAAATCTTTTATACCCTTGCTGATATTTTGTCTTGAAGAGTATTAAAATCTCTGACTAGAATTATGAATTTGTCTGTTTCTCCTTGTATTTCTATTAGTTCTTGTTTCATGTGTTTTGAAGATCTGTTATAATGTGCATACACATGTAGGAAGGTTAGATCTTCTTGATTAATTGATTCCTTTATCATCATGAAGTGATAATAATATCATCTGGAATCTACTGTGTCTGATAGCTTTCCTTTGGTTAATGTTATGGTGGTATGCCTTTTTCATCCTTTTACTTTTAACTTATTTATGTCTTTATTTCAAGTGCATTTCTTGCATGCAGCATACAGTTGGATCTCGTTTCATCCAATCTGACAAGTTTTGCCTTTTAACTAGATTATGTAAACTATATAGTATAAACTAAGTAATATAAACCATTTTACATAATTAATGTTCTTCTCTACTAGTTCCACCATCTCTGTCAGTTTTGATTGATTATTTTTTCTCCTCATTATGGGTCATATTTTCCTGCTTCTTTGCATAAGTGGTAGCTTTTCATTGGATGCCAAACATGACAAATTTTAACTTTGCTTCATGCTGGTTATCTTTGTAGTCCTATAAATACTCTTGAAACAAATCACTTGAAACAGTTTGATCCTTTAGGGTATGGCTTTTAAGATTTGTTAAGCAGGTCTGTCAGAGTGCACAGTCTGCCTGTAAATATTCCCACCCCTGAAGCAAACCTTTTCGACGTACTCTATTTAACAACTAATGAATTGTGCCTCATTCCAATCTGGCCAAGGGAAACATGGTGTGTTCCAGGTCCTGGGCTCTGGCTTAATTCGTCCTTTCTGTGCTATGGCCTGGACACTCTCTCAAGCCAGTAAGCCGGGATCATTGTGGGTCTCATCTTGTTGGTTTTCTGTCTTCCATGGGATCAGTGTTTAACATTGCTCAGCGACAAGCGGTACTCCATCTTGGCTGGAAGGAGAAGTCAAATTAGAAGGATTTCTAATCCTCCTCTGTTATGTTTTAAATCATATTAGGTGAACTACTGCAGCAGTTTTTGCTTTACTAGATTTGTCTGTTATATGAAATTTGAAATCAATATATGAAATGTCTTTTCATTTAGCTTTCTCTGAGGAATCTCCTTGTTATAAAGAAAACATGGATTGGAAAATCATCAGTGATAATTATTTTACATTTCTGAATAACTTACTGAAGTCTCCAAGACTTTCCATATCTAGGTAAGTTTTTAGAATTCAACTTCCAGGTCTTGATTTAACTATCATCTGAAGATAAGCAAAACTTAAGTATAGGATATGTGTTCTTTAAAATTATGAGCCTGATTTAGATATTGACTAAGTGTTTCATATTAGGTGCTCAATAAATATTTGTTTATTAGAATATATAACTCAAGCTTCCATGGATTTTGAAAGGAAATATAAACGATAGTAATAAGATTTTTCTTCAATAGTAGAATGATTTATAATAGATAATACAAAATTAGTGTTTTTTTTTTCTTCCTGAAAAATAGTCTCATCTAGTTGCCTAGTGTTTAGACATGGGATCAGTGTCATCAGTGATTTATATTTTGGTAGAGAAGTGATCTTTGGAACTGAATCTGCCAGATTATTTCCTCCACTGCTATTTCAGCACATGTATTGCAATGGAGATTTTTATGTATGTTAGTGGATATTGTGTCCAGTTTAAAGACACACGTTATTGTTTGGGGGGTGTATTGGGACAGGATGGGGCAGAAGCTTTGTATCAGAGCAATAGCTCTCAAACTCGGGAATGGATCAAACGTATCTCTGAAGTTTGCTAAAAATATGAATGCCTGCACCTTGCTCCATGTTGCTGCAGGCATACTAAATCTTGCCCTGTGTGTACGACCCAGGTTTCTGTATATTTAACAGATTCTCAGGTGGTTCTGGTGCACACCAAAGTTTGAAAATCATTCTGCTACCTCTATCTAGACCTGGGATTTGTCCCTCCTTGGGAAACATTTTAAGCCCAGCTATTAGTGGGC